ACACATTTCCAGCTGTTTTGAATTGCAGGACCCTGGGTGAGCTGAGCAAGGTGGGTGAAAGCCTCCAGGGAGTGCCTTCCTGGTATAGTTCAAGGAGCTTCAAGGCTGCTTGATTCTCATCTGGACATCAGTCTGTGTGTCCTTGTGTGTGTGTGGTGGGGTGTTGGGGATTGAACTCATGGCCTTGCCCATGCAAAACATGTACTCCTACTGAGCTACACTCCCCAGGGTAGCTTTTTGAATGAGCCATGGAGACTTTTGGCCTCTTCTAACAATAGAGAAACGCTGTTCAAAGCAGGCTGTAGAATGGGTCCCACATCTGCCTTCTGGATCATTGGTGGCTGTGAGCCAGTAGCATGGAGGTGTGGAGCACACAATACAAAGACCTTCAGAGAAATGGGGTTTGATTTCAGACTTCATGCTTGCAAAGAGGGCACTTTGCCACTTGAGCCACACCTCTAGTCCATTTTGCTCTGGTTATTTTGGAGATAGGATCTGCTGAGCTTTTTTCCCAGGCTGGTCTTGAATGACAGTCCTCCTGATCTCAGCCTCCCAAATATCTAGCATTATAAGTGTGAGCCATCCACACCAGATTCACCAAAATATCTTTTATATCTCCCTGACCCCTGACCCATGTAGCCTAATGTGACCCCACAGTCTCTATTTGCAGGTCCATCTGGACTCCCTTCTCCCTCGTTTTTTTCTTTTCTTTTTTTGTGGTACCAGGTACTGGAGTTTGAACTCAGAGTTTCACGCCTGCAAGGCAGATGCTGTACTTGAGCCATGCCTCCAGCTGGCTTCTTTTTGCCTTTATTTCCTTCCTGTCTTCCCCCGCCCTACCACCACCGTGCTACTGGGGCTTGAACTCAGGGCCTACACCTTGAGCCATTCCATCAGCCCTTTTTTGTGATGGGGTTTTTTTCAAGATAAGGTCTCATGAACTATTTGCCTGGGTTGGCTTCGAACTGTGATTCTCCTGATCTCTGCCTCCTGAGTAGCTAGAATTACAGGTGTGAGCCAGCAATGCCCAGCTTCTTCGTAACTTTTTTTACTTTGCTTCTTTTTCTGCTTTTTAGCACAGCCTGGTTCATTCTTCCACATTTTCTGACATGTATCCCATTCTAGTGGCCATATTTTCATCTTCCTTCCTTAAGCTGCTCTTGGTTCTCTGTAGAACCTCCCTGTCTTCCTCTCCCTGCATCCTTCTCTGATTCCTTTGTGTGGGTGCACCGTTGTGTTTTCCCAAAGGATTTCTCTGGACTCCCTGTTTTTCTCCTAGGTATCTCAGTCAGTTTATCTACTTGCATGACCTCTTTTAGAACTTGTGTTCTGGTGGCTCCTAAATTTGTTTCCGCTCCTGACGTGGATTCTATTGTCCAGATTCTTCCGGTTTGCACACTAGCAAAGACCTGGCTCATTTCCTTTTCACTCTCCCTTTGAGCCTCATCTATTGTCTGATATCTCTGTTGTGGCCCCTCTTCTCTGGTCTGAGTTAAATAATGGACATTTGTGAACCCCTTTTCAAGTTGAGGGAACACTCTCATATCTTTCATCATTTTTTACAAGATTCTGACAATAACCCTTTAAGGTAGATAGCAATTGTCTTGATTTACAAATGAGAAACTACACTGAAGCTGAGAGGAGTTAGGGGAAGGGGATACACCCAGTGTCATCACAAATAATGATGCAAGAACTTGAATCTAGGTCTTCTGATGCCTGACCTTATCTCTTCATTTTTTCCTACTGGAAACACAAAGGCAGATAACGGAAATTACAGGTTGGATTTGACCTGTAGACCAGTGTTTCTTGGCCTTTTTGGTTTAAATACCAAATTAATATTAATATTCCAAATTGGTTACCAATACTTAAAACATCAGGAGATTGCACCTCAAAAATTGAGATTTGACTACACTGGATGCACATTTTCCATTGAGCACTTCCTTGACCTTGTAGTCCCAGTCCTGGTATTTGACCCTCTGTGTTCCAACATTAGCCTAGCTTCCCTTCCACATATTCCTACCTGGCTTAGGCGGTTTCTAAAATGCCTTCTCTTTGCACTGTATTTATAACAAGCACTCAGTTGCCAGGTTTAGGTGGTTTCTTGAGCTACACTGTCTGAGTTAGAGTTGACTTCTGGCCACACCGAACACCCAGCTCTACCTTGGGTCTGTGTCAGTCTTCTTTTTTTTGGAGGGAGCAGTCCTGGGGTTTGAACTCAGGTCCTTAAGCTTGCTAGGCAGGTGCTCTACCATGTTAGCCACTCTGCCAGCCCCTCTGCCTTGGGTCTGTATCTTTATCTAAGTCACAGAAAATAGCCTCCTTCCCCTTATCTATCTCCCCCTACCCTTTCCCTTTAAGAATTTTGTGAAACACCTTTTGGAGGTTTTTTGTTTTTTTTTTAATGAAAACCAACTAACCTGTTAGCCCTCTCACTTAGACATACCTTGGCAGATCTATGTGTATTGGGATTTCTTTTGTCTCCCCCTCTGTCCTGTAAGCTCTTTGAGGACAGGGATTTTATCAGCCTTTCAAGTGTCTCTTACCACCAAGTACCACTATTCTCTCTGTGGTTGCTTCATAAATATTTGATGGTGGTTGATGATTAAATGAGTAGGAACAGTGGATGCCCAGTGTGATTCTAAACCTCTAGCGAACCACTCTGGAGAGTCTGAGTGAGAAGTTCTCTGGGTTCTGGCTGGGGAGGCTGCCTGATGCCACAGACAGAATCCAGGTCATTCCTACTTGGGTCAGTACCAGTGCTGCTGCTACTTGCTTCCTGTGTGACCTTAGTAGGTCACTTTATACTCTGAGCCTCTGTCTGTCCCACATTCAGAAAACACGCACATTTCTCAAATTGTTTTCAAAGTGCTGGGTACTATTCACAATAGCCAAGTTATGGAAACAGACAAGATGCCCCAGCACTGACGAATGGATTAAGAAAATGTGGTATCTATACACAATGGAATTTTATGCAGCCATGAAGAAGAACGAAATGTTATCATTTGCTGGTAAATGGATGGAATTGGAGAACATCATTCTGAGTGAGGTTAGCCTGGCCCAAAAGACCAAAAATCGTATGTTCTCCCTCATATGTGGACATTAGATCAAGAGCAAACACAACAATGGGATTGGACTTTGAGCACATGATAAAAGCGAGAGCACACAAGGGAGGGGTGAGGATAGGTAAGACACCTAAAAAACTAGCTAGCATTTGTTGCCCTTAACGCAGAGAAACTAAAGCAGATACCTAAAAAGCAACTGAGGCCAATAGGAAAAGGGGACCAGGAACTAGAGAAAAGTTTAGATTAAAAAGAATTAACCTAGAAGGTAACACACACGCACAGGAAATCAATGTGAGTCAATGCCCCGTATAGCTATCCTTATCTCAACCAGCAAAAACCCTTGTTCCTTCCTATGATTGCTTATATATACTCTCTCTACAACAAAATTAGAAATAAGGGCAAAATAGTTTCTGCTGGGTATTGAGGGGGTGGGGGGGAGAGGGAGGGGGTGGAGTGGGTGGTAAGGGAGGGGCTGGGGGCAGGGGGGAGAAATGACCCAAGCCTTGTATGCACATATGAATAAAAAAAAAAACAAAAAAACAAAGTGCTGGGCAAATGACAATGATTAGCATTGGTTCTTGGAATCATCTAGACATTACTTTGGGGGTTTGGCTTTTGCTGTCTCCCTAAGTGCTTAAACTTCCATTGGACATATATGCTGGCCACATTTTCTGTGGCTTTGGTGGTGGGTATTAAATCACATGTGCCTGCTTGACTGTTCTGCTGCATGGGGGCAGAAATCTAACTTTGGTTGTTTTCAGTAGAATGTAACTTAGGCTATTTCATGGGCCTGCTGGTTAGAGAATGTTTGGGGCTCCACTCTGAAGGTGCACTGGTCATACCCCAGTGCTGGTAGTGTAAGGTTGGGTTTTGGTTTGGTGACATCTCATTTCCCCTAAGCCTCTTTGGTGGCTTTGAGGAGGAAGTGGTGCGGAGAGGAGGTTGTTTGGTGGCTTGGCTTATACTAATCGCTCATCTAACGCTACTATTTGAGAGCTGCCACAGTGAGCCACTCTGGGATCCACTCCCAGATCAACCCTGGGCTTCTCCTAGCATTCTCAGGCTGTAAAGGATGCTTTGTGACATCCATAGAGTTCCCGGGGGTTGGGCTAGGGTAGGGTGGGTGGGTGACCACTGAGGCTCTTTTTTTGTTGTTGTCATACTAGGGTTTGATCTCAAGGCCTTCACCTTGAGCCACTCCACTAGTCTCCCACCCCATTTTTATGGGTTTTTTTTGAGAGAGGGTCTCATCAGTTGTTTTCCCAGGCTGTTTTTGGGTGTGATCCTTCTGATCTCTGCCTCTTGAGTAGCTAGGATTATAGGCGTGAGCCACCGATACCCAGCTCCTGAGGCACTTCATAGCAGCAGAAAAAGGAAGAATTGTTTTTTTGGACTGTGAACTGTAGTTGGTATCTGGTGAGTGGGCACTGTTGTTAGATGGAAGCTGGCCCAGTGACTGTACCCTTTCCAGGGCAGTTGATCGGTTGGGCCTACCTTGGGCTCTGTGGTGGTTTGATGTGCTCAGAGTCCTGGCTAGGCTTTTCCTCTGTGTTTCTAAGAACACTCCTCTTCCTTAGGTGGAAATGGGAATGTCCACACTTGGTTTCCTCTGGACTTGCTGTTTCCCCTGTGGACTCCTGGCTCTGCTGGTTGGCTGGGGTGGGTTTTTCATTCCTGATGTGCTCTGGGACAGCCTGGTTGGGCTGGCTCCTTTGGGGTGGGTATTAAGGAGCAGTCATGACTCTTGGAATACTACAGTCATTCCTCAGACACCAACTTGGCTGCCCTGCTAAGCGCTCTTGGTCACATGCTGTCTGTCTTGGAAAGTCCTCTGTCCCCAGGAGTATATGTCACCCTTAATATTAGCCTAGATGCATCTTTGGGGTAGGTAGCTATTAGCTAACTGGGTGAACTCTTCTCCCTGCCTTTCCACCTTAGATGGCTTCTTCTGTTGTATCCTGAACTTTCCAAGAATTCCTGACCCTTCCCTGTCTTTGGAAGTCAATATGTGAAGTTATTTTGCCTGGTGTGCTGAGGCAGCCAAGCCGGAAACAAGCTGGGGAAGAAGAGGAGTGTCACCTGGAGGTGGTTGTCATGGCTTCCTGTGGTCAGTTGTGGTCATCTGTTTCTAAACATCCTGTTTGTGCCCCTAAAGTAGCAGGGACACTGACCAGGAGACAGCTGTTCTCTGCCTAACCTTGGGCAGAGCACAGGGCAGGCTAGGGCACCATGATCTATTTGCCCCAGCAGGGGCTTGGTGTTCTGGTTGGTGCCTGTTCGGGGTGGTGTTGGTAGTAGCAGCTCCCGTGAGCATTGTCCTGGCCCTGTACTTCTTCCTCCTTTGCCTGCTTCCAGAGCCTTTCCCTGGAGTGTTTTGGTTTTGCCAGGTAGATCTTAGATCGAACATGCCCCTTCTGTGCTCCCAGAAGTAGAAGGGGCCTTAGGGTGCCTTTCTTCTGTGGTTTTTGGGGGTCTCCAGCCATTACCTTCTTCAGTCAGAGCTATGCCCTTTGTATCTATTTATGTATTAGGCTTTTGTCTAAGACTGCAATTGCAGAAGGGGTTTGTGGTTTTTAAACATTTGAAAATAAAAATATAACAACATTTGAAAATTAGTTATCGAGTTCAACCCCTTTGTCTTACAGATGGACATATTGAGTCCCTTCGAGGAGGAACTATATGTCCAATACACTTAGTAGAACAGGCCTGTGCTTTTTTCCCCTTTTTGGGAATATTTGAGGTGTTTTCCTTCTTTCTGAAACTCCACATCTGCCACAGTGTAACCTCAAGCCCTCTCCCCTCCCCCCCACCTTTCTCATGTTACTTAGTATCTGACATTGTTATTTAGTTTTTTTGTGTGTGTCAAATGAGATACATGCTTATTATAAAAGGAAAACTACAGAAGTGAAAGTTCCTTTCTTTCTTCTCCTCCTCCTCCTCCTCCTCCTTCTCTCTGTTTCTCTTTCTTTCTTCTCTTTCTCTCCGCCTCTCCTCCTCTCTCTCTCCCTCCCTCCCTTTCTTTTCTTTCTCTTTCTCTTCCTCCCTCCCTCCTTCCCTCCCTTCCTTCCTTTCTTATCTTTCTTTCTCCCTCCCTCCTATCCTTTCTTTGCACTGAAGATTGAACCTAGGGCCTTGTAACTTGCTAGGCAAATGCTATGCCACTTGAACTATGCCCTTAGCCCTTTGGTTTATTTTGGTTTTGAGATAGGGTGTCCTTTGCCCAGGCTGGTCTTGAACTCATGATCCTCTTGCCTCCACCTCCCAAGTAGCTGGGATTATAGGCATGTACTATCACACCCAGTTCTAACCATTTTCTTTGCAGTTACAATCATGTATATCATATACATACCCTTTATTATATATATATGTACATAGATATATAATGTATATTTTTTGGTGGTATGAGATTTGACTTCAGGGCCTCTTGCTTGCTAGGCAGGTGCTTAACCACTTGAGCCATGACCCTTTTTTTTTCTTTCTTTTAGTTATTTTGCAGGTAGGGTTTCACATGCCTCCCTTGTAGCTGGGATCAGAGGTGTGTACCACCACAGATTATTGATTGAGATTGTTTTTGAACTGGCTGGCCTCCAATCTCAATCCTCCAGATTTCTGCTTCCCCCAAGTAGCTGAGATTATAGGTGTGTGCTACCATGCCTGGTATTATTTTTATTTTTGTGGTGCTGAGGATCAAACCCATGGCTTCACATGGGCTGAGCAGGTGCTCTACTACTGAGCTACATTTCTAGCTCCTTTCATTATTACTATTATTATTTTGGCGGCACTGGGTTTAAATTCAGGGCCTTACACTTGTTAGACAGGTGCTCTTACAGCTTGAGCCACTCCACCAGCCCCTGCTACTGTTTTGTTTTGTTTTGTTTTTTAACTAGTGTAAAATACACATAGTATAAAATGAACCATTTTAAAGCGTCTAATTAAGTGACATTTAGTACGTTCACAGTGTGTAACTCCCAAAGGAGTTTCCATGACCCTTAAGCAGCCACTTCTTACCACCTCTCCTCAGCTCCTGTCAACCTGTACTCTACTTTCTTTCTCTACAGATTTAGTAGTTTGGAACATTTCATATAAAAGCAGCCCTGTAGTATGTGGCCTTTTGTGTCTGGCTTCTTTTCACTTAGCATGTTTTTGGGGTTCATGGGAGTTGTAGGATACATCAATACTTCATTTTTATAGCTGAACAATATTCCATTGTATGTTTATATCACATTATATAATGTATTGCTGGATATTTGGGCTGGTTCCATCTTTTGGCTATTGTGAATAGTGCTGCTGTAAACATTCTTTTTTTTTTTTTTTTGCTGTAAACATTCTAAAATCTTTTGGTATACACCTGTTTCCTTAACTGATATAATAATTGCAAGCAGTGATAGGATGTTTGCTCTGTTTTGGGTACAACCCATGAAGTAGGTATTCTTTTTTTATTTTTTGGTGGTACTGAGTTTGAACTCAAGACTTCATGTTTGCAAAGCAGGTGTTCTACCCCTTGAGCCACACCTCTAGTCCATTTTGCTCTGGTTATTCTGGAGATTGGGTCTTGCAAACTGTTGTGTGGGCTGGCCTTCATTACTCTCGAACTCAGCCTCCCAAGTAGCTAGGGTTATAGTCGTGAACCTCTGGTGCATGCTAGAAGTAGGTATCCTTAAGAGAGGACACAAAAGCAAAAGAGTATGAGTGGCTTGGCTGAAGAGTCATTAATGAGCTACTGAACTGGGATGGGGACCCAGAGACTGCTCTTTAGCCTGCTAACCACTACATCCTTCTCTGATTACATTATAGACTCTCTTCCAATTCTCATTTGCCATGAGGGTGATATTTAAGAGTGACTCTGGAGGGAGGGAGGGAGGAGACAGGCTGAGGCATGTATAGGTTGCGTTTTACGCAGGTGAAAATCATCTGTGGATGATACATAGTGTGCTTTGGGCTGAGCATGGAGGAAGTGGTCAGCCAGGTGAGTGGGAGAGAGGGTTATTGAACACTGACCCCTGCCTAGATTATCAGGGATCGAAACCACGGGAAATAAGGTGTGAGCTGGTATGCTTCCCAGTGGACAGGGAGGCCTCTGGGCTGTGCAGGAGGAGCATTTTCTGCTGTGTGCCCCTCTTCCAGCCTCCTGTGCTTCTGTGAGCAAGGCCTGGGGCTCTTCCATTCCTCAGACTAATAGCTTGTTGGCCCTCTGTCCTCTTGCCCATTAGTTCTTATGTCATTTGCTTTCATCTCTCTCTGATATCCTTGTGAATGGCTTTTGCTCAATTATTGAGCTTTCTTAGTTGGGGAGTTGACATCTCCCACCTGGAGAGACAAGTGAATGTGTCTCTTTTTCCTTTCAGTTCTTTTTGGGGGGGGGCGGAAGTGGGGTTTGAACTCAGGGCATTATGCTTGCTAAGCAGGCACTCTACCACTTGAGCCACTCTGCCAGTCCCCAGTTCTGTCATTTTTGCTTCACCTACTTTGAAGCCCCATTATTAGCTGTGCATACATTTAGGATGATTATGTCTTCATGCTGAAGTGACCCTTTTATCATTGTGAATCACCCTCTTTACCTCTGTTAGTATTCCTATCTGGAAGTCTCCCTTTTCTATTAAGAACAAGAATACCCCAATTTAGCTTTCCTTTCCCCTCCCTTTCCCTCTCCTCCCATCACCCCTTTCTTTTTTCTTGGTACTGGGGTTTGAACTCAAGACTTTGTGCTTACAAGGTAGATGCTCTACCACTTGAGCCATACCTCCAGCTCCCTTCTTCTTCATAGTCAGTTTAATAAAGTAATTGATTGGGGCACCTGTAGCGGTGACTTAGGCTCAATCCAGATGGGTGTAATCTGTTTAATAATCTGAGGAGGACTGTGCAGGTCAGAGCCTTACTTGCATTTCTTTTCTGGAAGCATCCCGTGTCTTAGAACCTTCCCCACAGGACTTTTCTTGAAGTGATTCTCGGATCCCTGGTAGGCATCCAAACTGATCCTACACTTTTGAGGTTCTTTTTGTTTTTTGTTTTTTGGTGGGACTGGAGTTTGAACTCAGGGCTTCACACTTACAAAGCAGGCACTCTACTGCTTCAGCCATACCTCTAGTCCTAGGTTCTTTTTCTTTGAGCAAGCCAGCGCTTACCTTCTCCAGGGACTTTGTGTTAAGGTTGGTATAGTAATTCTGATTTGGTGAGTTGCCACCTCTGGGCTCCCTGACCAACTTCTTCCTGGATGAGAGTGAACAGCTGCAAGTCAGGAGCAGGCGAGGGCAACCTGGAGTTCTATAGCAGTTGCCACTCCATCTTCCTCAAAGGCCATTTTGATTTTCTTTTTCTTTTAAAAAGATGAGGTCTTGGCTGGGTGCCAGTTGCTCATGCCTGTAATCCTAGCTGCTCAGGAGGGAAGAGATCAGGAGGATCTTGGTTTGAGGCCAGCTAAGGGAAATAGTTCATGAGATCCTATCTTGAAAATACCCAGCACAAAAAAGGCTGACAGAGAGACTCAAGTGGTAGAGTACAGGCCTAGCAAGCATGAAGCCCTGAGTTCATACCCTAATACCACCAAAAAAAAAGAAGATGAGGTCTCACTGGGTGTCAGTGGCTCACACCTATAACCCTAGCTACTCAGGGTGCAGAGATCAGGAGGATTATGGTTTGAAGCCAGCCTGGGCAAAAAAAAACGAGACCCTATCTCAAAAATACCCAATACAAAACAGGGCTGGCAGACTGGCTTAAGTGGTAGAGCACCTGCCTAGCAAGTGTGAGGCTCTGTGTTCATAACCCCACTATCTCCCAAAAAAAGTGTGCCCAATTAGCAAGCTTGAGATCCTGAGTTCAAGTCTGTGTACCACTAAATAAATAAACAAACAGAAAAAAAGTCTAAAGAAATTAACAGAAGTGTTCCGAGAACACTATTTTTTTCCTTCTTTTCCCTTCCAATTTTTGTAATTTTTGTCTTCCTCCCTGGCTGGTTTTCCTGCTGAGGCTCCCTAATCCAGCGTGCCTTGTGGTTCATCTCATCTGTGGGGCAGTCATGATAGTCAGTGATGCTATCAGTCTCTCTGGGCTGCAGAGCCCACTGTGGATGTTACTAACACAGTCCAGCAGTGCACGTTTCACGAAATCTGC